ATATGCCCCCGCCGTATATTTTTAGTCCTTCAATAACTCCACCAACTACGAGGGGTATTTGTATGTGTACGTGTGTGGAAAAATTAGGCTGTGACGCTAATAGCGCTCAAGTTTTAATGACACGAATAAAAAACCATTACTCATTTAATTTCCCTTATCATTATTCATATTTAGATGGATCAGAATATCCAAGAACATGAGGACGTTTATCTTCTGCATTAAGTTGGTTTACTCAAAAATGTAGAAATACTGTAGATATAATGATATAATAATATTTACAACAGTTATAGATTTTTTATATAATGATAATAATAATTTAGAAATAGAATGCGCATTTTATTTGTCAGAATTTAATGAATCCGATTACTAATGGTCTTAATAGTCTATCGGATTGCTATGGTCTATTGTTATGCCCTTCCTTCCTGGAGTTTAAATTTTATTATTTGGAATTGTTACATAATTTACGGAGCACTACATAGTATATAATTTTATTTTGACTAGATTATTAAAAATATTTTTATTATTATTACGTGTAACTATTTCTCTTCAGCCGATATTTTAATATTAATTAATATTAATATAGCGTGTAGAAATATATGTCGGATAATTTTGATCGTCTTTATTATAGGAAAAAATAAAAATAAATATTACATCATTATCATCGTAATCATGTGACTTTAAGGTAATAATACTAATACTAATACGACAAATTTCAGAATTCCGAAATCAATATAACATTAGTATTAGTTAGTATAATTATTATTTGAAGTATGGAACCGAGATTGAAATCTACGCGGTGAATGAAAAGGAATAAAATGTTTTAAGGATTAAAAAACTGTTATTTTTTTGTTTATATTTACATGGAATTAAGGTTATTTTACAAATATCAACAAATATCAACAAATAAAATCGGTATTAATTTTATGTCTCTAATAATATTCATTATTAGATTGTCTGTTCTTCCCAATAAACTTATATACCCTACTACATACAATACATACATATAATGAACGAACTTGGACATTATATGTGAGTGTATGTGTGTGTCAAAATCTAATCACTATTACTTTTTTTCAGTAATCTTTTTCAATTAAAGAAATGCTTCCGCTTTTTTTTAAATTTTTGGTTTCTGAGTAATGGATGAATGTAGATTGTTTAAATAAATCCTATTTTCCGTGACATATTTGTTTCGCAATTTTCCTCTTTGTATAATATTTATTTTCCATCTTTATTTACCCAAAAATTCCGACGATACTATAAAAACGATATGTAGTCGATTGTAGTTTAAAAAATAAAAAATAAGAATAATTAAATATGGCTTTAAATAATGTCGGTATTCGCATTCCAGTTCCTGCAAACATTAATCAAGTTGCTAATGCAAATAATCCAGTTCCTGCAAACATCAATCAAGTTGCTAATGCAAATAATCCAGTTCCTGCAAACATCAATCAAGTTGCTAATGCAAATAATCCAGCTCCTGCAAATGGTAATCAGGTTGCTAATGCAAATAATCCAGCTCCTGCAAACGTTAATCAAGTTGCTAATGCAAGGGGAATGGCTGCCGACAATCTATTTATCAAGGAAATACTTGATGGGGTACAGGATTTCTCCTATAATAATAATAATAATCCAAACGGTTTAAACGAACAGTCAAATATTATAGACGGGTACAAGTTTGATTTTGGCCAAGACTAAAAAAATAAAATCAAGGTAAATTTATTTTAGTATTTTGACACATTTCAAAATCTAATGTTTGCTTACTCCATACAAATCGATGGTCTTGCAGTATCAATTGGTCTGCAGAAGATAATAAAGAAGACCGAATATTGATTTGAATGAATGCAAAATATTTGAACCAGATCCCAGAAGAATAGATCTTAATCTGATTGTAGTAATGAGTTCCGATGAAAAAGTTACGAGTTGTTCCAATAATGAGTACTGGAACAGCAGGGTTTGTTTGCGCTCGAAAGAAAACGTGAGTTGTGTGGTTGGAAAAAAATAAATATCTTACTCGAGGTGAGCTATGCTTTGTTAATTTAATTCACTTTTAAACAAGAGTATCATTGAATAATATTACTTACATACCTTTCACCTAATACTATTATTACAAACCTAGAAATTCCAACCTATAGTGTCACTAACGTCTATGAACATAGCTCTTACTTCACTTAGATTCTGTTTTACCTCAATAACAATCCTTGATTTTTATGGTGAATGTGATTGGTGTTGAAATCTTTTATTAATAAGTAGAAGGCCTTTGGTAGTCTGTGCAAGAGAGTAACAAATGGTAATGGTGGTAATACAGTTGTTGCATTTAGTGATGATAAATTCTCAACAGCATCATGTGGACATGCTCCAGGTCCTGTAAAAGAATTTCGCCAAGAGCTTTCTAGACACTGCAAAGTGGTGAACGTTAACGAGTTCCGTAGATACTTAGTCTATTCTTTGTGTGATAGGTGGTTTGATAAGCATCAAAAATTCTGGTCTACAAATCCGTCTGTCTGGCACAATAGAATCGAGATGTTAATGCTGCCCATGACATAAGGGACATGTTTTTCACACAAATACTTATGGAGAGAGACCTTATCCGTTTAGAATGGGAGCTTACTTGGATTAACCTCTCTGCTGCCATTTTAATTGTGGCAAGCTGATGGCAGCGGTAGTGATGGTGACTTTCTAAGCCACAATTAGCTATAGGGAAGATTTGATCTTTCTGATTTAGTGTAACAAGGTTTACTTATAACGATAATAATAATACTATCGTCCATCATTACATATGCAATACCAATATTAAAGGAACTTTTATTTTTTCACTCATTATATATTCCCCAAAAAATGACATTAATTAACAATAATAACACTCACCAGCAAATATATATATAATTAATTAAATTGATTGATCTATAAAAAAGACTTTATTTATGTTTTAAAAAAACCCATTATTTTGTTGGCATAAGGAATTTGTCCAAATGAGTATTAGTAATTTTAGTTTTTCTACTATTTAGTTTTCTTTTCCTTTGCTTTGGCTTATCCTATGTAAATAAATAATAAATATATATAATTATGTGTATTACGATATATATATATTTATTATTATTATTATTAAATATTAAGAAATGCCATTGTTTATTATTTTCACGCACCTCAATAATTCCTCTATTTTCAAAAACTGCCATAGATTGTAAACCAGCTATTTTTTTTAAACAAATAAATAAATATTAACATTAAGATTAGAAGTTAATCAATCACATTAATTAATTAATTAATTAATACAAACCATCTTCAAGTGATTTTTTCAAGTCAGTTTCATCTGGAACTTTTACACTATGAAACATTTTCACAAATTCTACATTATATATACAGTATATATATATATATATAATATATATGTGTGTTATATATATTATTCCATAATTTCATATATTTATCTCTCAATCTACCTATCTATTTCTTTATAATTATACCTTTATCCATCGGAGTATTGTATTGCAAATCATTCCAAAAAAGTAAACGTGGAGTACTATCTTTTACAAGTCGAATTACCATTATTTTACCCTCTTTTTCCAATTCCTAAAAATAACAAATAAATAATATTAAAAATAAGTAGTAATTACTAATTAATAATAATAATAATGATAGTGGTGGTGATGATACTGACTGCAATTGCATTTGATAAATCAATACAATCATTTAATTCTTTATATTGCATTCCTCTCGGTACAGTTGATTTGTCATTCCTTTCCTTTAATAAATTTAATAAATCTTCCTTGGAACGAATTGAATGATCCGGCTATATAAATATAAATAGATATTAGAATTACTAATTATTATAAAACCTGTAGAATGTATGGCACATATTTTTATTATATACAACATATAATATAATAATTATTCTTCTAAACCTGCTCATATAATTAAATTCTCACCTTGTATTTGAATGTACGATTGGCACTATCAAATTCAATCTTTTCACTACTTATCATAATATTATAAAGTTCATCATTAGGTCTAATTTTGAATTTGTTTGCGTTGATCTCCTCCAATGTTTGTGGTTCATCCATTTTCTCCTGTTATATCATCAATGATTATAATGGTAGTAAT